TTACATATAAATATGAACTTGTAATTTCCGTGGTCTTACTATACACTGAATTTCCTAGGAGTGCAACTACCATATAAGCCGGCCAAAGTGTGTACCTTGTTTCACCTGGACCTATGCCGAGGGCGGCTCACCTACTGGCAAAGTCACATTCGCAGTCTGAGTCAGGATGAGTCCCTATGTCCACCCTCCTGCGTAAGTCTGTGTGCAGGGCTGTTGCATTCACAGTGATTCTGGGCACGGGGCAAGCCCCATGCCGCATTGTTAGCTCTCGCAGTTAGACACACAGTTATTTACTTTTCAAAGTACGTATCATTGAACTGTAAACAATTTCATTTTCTCTTTCATCTCATAGTAAGGCATTATTTTGATTTTATTTGAAATCAGATGTGAAGATAGGCTATATTTTTTATGAAGTTAATTTCAGGAGAGTAAAGAGACACTGTTAATATTTCCTAACCCAGGGGATGCTGGGTGGGACTGGGCAGAGAAGCCCAATTTGAGCTCAGCACCAAAATGCCCCATGTAGCGGGGAAGGGGCTGGGGATCTTCTCCCACTGAATCCTCACATACAAGCATCTGATCTGCACGTCTGTGTCTGTCCCTCTGCGTGTATGTCCTTTATAGTTTTTCACAACAATGGGATCATACTTAACATTATTCTATAAACTTTATTCACTTAAAAATACATCTTGGACATTTATTCATGTCAGCACAGATAGCTCTATTGAGTTCTTTTTAATGGTTGCATAGTACTTTGTACTTTGTTGTGTGAAGGAGCCAAGATTTATTTAATCAGCTCTTATTGATAGACACTGTGTTGTTTACCGTTATGATTAATTCTGTAATAATTTTACAGATGTAGGTATCACTGTGCATCTGTGCAAATAAATCTGTGAACCAAAGTCCTAAACATGCATATCAAAGTTCTAGGTTAGAAGGGTTAGAAGATAAGTATGTGAATTTAAAATTTTGATAGATACTGCCAAATTTTTCTCAAAAAAAGATTGCACTGATTTATACATCTATGGCAGTGTATGAAAATACCTGTCTCTACCCTCTCTAACCCTGGGCCTCAAGAAACATTTCAATTTTTTATAAGCTAATAGGTTTTTTTAAGTGCCTCATGATTGTCTTAATTTGTAGCTTTAAAATTACGGGTCAGGTACATATCTTTTCATATGTTATTGGACATCCACATTTTTCAATGAATTTCATATTTATATTCTTTACCTTTTTTTCCCAACAAATTATTTTCCTTACTCATTTCTAAGAGCTCTTTAGATATTAAGGAAGTTAGTTTTTTGTTAACTGTGTTCTCCTTTTTTCCCTCCAATTCTGTTCTTTGTATCTTTTTCCTAAATTCAAAACATTTCCATTTAAACAGTCATTTATATAACTTTTATTGTTTTTTGTATTTGGAACAGATTTTAAAAGGCCTTCCCCACTCTAAGATTATAAAAATTTTCCTCATTTGTTTTTTCGAGTTTTATTATGATTTTATTTTTTTTGCATTTAAAGTTTGATCAACCTGGAATTTGTTTTGATATAAAAAATGAGGTATGGATCCAAAAGGTCCAATTGTCCCAATGCCATTAACTGAATGACTTATTTTTTTCTCTGCTGATTTGAAAGGCTGCATTTATAAATGCCCACATGGTGGGGTGGGTGGAGGGGGGGAAGGGGGTAAAAACTGAGACAACTGTAATAGAATAAACATGATTTATAAATTTAAAAATACATACATACATACATAAAAATAAATGCCCACATATATTTGAATCGATTTCTGGACTCTCTATGCTTTTCTGTTTGTCTATTTACTTCAATTTCAGTAACAAGTAGTTTTAATTATTGTTACCTTATCATAATGTTTTTAAATATGCTGTTTTATTCATTTCTGTATTTCAGAATTTTTCTAGCTATCTCTGAGTGTTTATTTGTCCAGTATTCAGTACCATTTTGACAAGTTCCAAAAAATATCTGTTATTTTGATGAGATTGCTTTGAATTAATCTATTACTTAGGGAGAACATCTTTATAATATGGAGTCTTCCTATCCAAGAACAAACTATATCTCTCCATTTATTCTTTAACTTCCCTTAGTGGAGTTTTTACAGTTAAATTTATCCCTCAGCATTCTATTTTTCTTTTGGTGCTAGTACAACTGTCTAGCTAGCTATTATTTATTTATGTGAAAACTAATGATTACTTATAATGTATTTTAAGTGTATTATAATATATTTAAGTGTATTATATAGTTATATAAATTTATAATTAGAATACTTCTAAGTTTCTAAATTAAGCATAATTCTGAATTTGGTCTGTAATATTTATATTCTTTTTATGCTCTATAATGTAACTTTTAAGTGGATAAGTCAAAATACAAATAAGTCTTTGGTCAAAGGCTCCTTGAAAACCCAGCCCACACCCACCTGCCACTTGGGCCTGCTGAAGCCTCCTGCAGGCCGTGGATGCTAAACCCCCCAGCTGGCTTTTAGCACTGACTCTAGATGAATGTGTTCAACTCAAATTCCTTTTTAGGCAGCCTTGTAAGATAATGAGAGAGCAGCTGGGTGGGGGCCTGTCTTGAGAGGCTGCTGCCAGTAAACCCCCTGCCTACCACGATCGTGTGGGAATACGGCTCAGTGAGGCCAGACCTTCTGATTTTTCAAGGGAAGCCAGAAATTCAGATTTAAAATTTTTAAACATTGCCTCAGAATTCTAAAAAGTCCTATGTGGGCCCAACTAACCATATCTGTGGGCTAGATTATCCTTTGTCCAGCTGGCTGCCGGTTTACCACTCCAGTAGGCCAGAGTCTCAGAAGTGTGGCCACAGTCTCAACGTTTCCTGGCTTCTTTTCCATCTAAGTAAGCTTGTGCACAGATGGTAGAATACAGTCTTCTTGTGCTCTGGCTAAAGCCAAGCTTCCCATGAACCCTAACCCTTCTGCAGAGCAGTCCCCTTGGGGATCTTGCTTGATCCTCAAAGGGCTCTGAGAGAGCAGGACCATTTCACAGATGGAGAAATCGAGGCTCAGAGGTGCATCCAAAGCCAGACAGCAAGGAAGTGACAGCTCTGGGATTGGCCTCCAGATTATTTGTGTGGCAGAGTGGCTGGCTGTATAGGCCCTGGAATCCATCTCTAACTTCAGTGCTTACTAGCTGTGATTTCCGGCACGCTCTGTGAGTGCCCCAAAACCTTAGTTTCTTTGTTTAGGAAATGGAACTGAACATAACAGCACCCACGTCCCAGGTACCCCTGGGGGTAGCACGAGTCCCCCCAGCAGAGCACCTGGTGCTCAGTGACTACTCGATAAAGTGACAGCTGCTATTATAATCAACTAGCTTTCTTTCCACTCTACCTCCCCATCCCCTTATTATGTGTAGTCCCTTGGAAAAAAATAAGTACCAGGATCTAAGGACTGAGGGCCAGCTCCAATTTTTTCCCTCAGCCTTTATATAGAGCAAGTCACTGCCCCTTCCTGAGACTTGGTTTCTGCATACATAAAATGGGGAGACCATCAGAGGTCTTGTCACAGACCCTTGTGACGCCAAGGGAGAGGACCTCATGGGATATTGTTCTGACTGAAGCCCCCCATGCCCCCATCGTTTTCCCCTTGGAGACACCTGCCCACCTGTATGCTCAGCTGCATGTCAGGCAGACAGGGAACTAAGTCTCTCTTGCCACTTGACTGATTCCCACATGGTGCCCAAATCTGTAAACAGGGTCCCAGCTGCTTCTGCCTGGGCCCCATGCGCGCCAGTGCTAGCAAACCTATCGGCCCCGGCCTCAGAGCTGGGCCGTCCCTGCTTTGTGACCTTGTCTCTTCCTGCCCCTCCTCTAATGTTCTAACTTGAGTCGGCTCAGCCCCCAGCTTCCCTGGTAAAACCAAAGTCTACCTGCATTTCCAAGACCCCTGTCTCTGTCACTAATCACTGAGTTCTGCCTACCAGCCTACAAGGACATCCTGCTACCTCAGGCTGGACCCAAAGGCTCTGGTCCAAGTGCCACCATGAGTCCCCACTGCCTGTCTGTACAATATCCGAGACTGCCTCCTGCCTGCCAGGTTGGACAGCCTCCCAGAGCTGAGTCTGTCCCAGTGCTGCTGGAGCAGGGAGGGGGATCTGCCTGGGTCCTTCCCGTCCAGCCCCTTCTGCAGCAGCAATCCCAGCAGTGACCAGCCACCATGAGAGGTCTCTGAGAAATAACAGTGACATGTACTGGGGGCTTGCTGTAAGCTAGACAAATGCCTAAGCCCTTTACATGCATTAATGCATTAAGCCTTACAACACTGTGGGGTAGGTGCTGTTTCCATTCCCACTTTAGAGATAAAGAACCACAGCCCATAACTCTTACATAACTTACACAAGATTATACAGCTAGTCAATGTCAACTTCAAACCCAGCAATGGACCTCCAGGGGCCAAACTCTTTATCTTTACGCGGACATTAAAGAGACTGGCCCTGGGCCTCGCCGAAAGGCAGCTGCTTTGCATACACCGAGCACCTTCCAGCCCTTCTTGACTCGACCTCTGCCTGGAAATATGAAATACCAACAACAACCTGCCAGGAGGCCCAGGCATCCTTGAGGCTGGAGCCGACCAGGGCTGCCCGTCTCATGAGGAGGATAAATCCCAGACCTTTGACACTCGGGTCCACACACGGAGGATCCTGAAATCACTGGGCGCCCCCGACACGAGACTTTCCTGCTACCCCTCCCAGCCCACAGTCCGCGCGGCATTTGCTCTCCTCCAGCTTCATCAGAGCCGTGTCTTCTTCTACAGCCATGTCTCATCGCAGCCACAGCCCCTGACCCCAGCAGTCTCCTGCTTGACCTGTGCCAGAACCTTACAACCTCATTAAAACAAAAATGACCAGTCAAGTCCAAAAGCACCAGGAAGCCACTCTTCCCTGCACGCAGGCATTCTCAGTCTCTCCCCTTCTCTCTCTCTTTCTCTTTCTCTCCCTGCCACTCATCCTCCACTCCCCAGGTGCCCTCACCTGTCACAATGGGGTAGGTCTGCGGCCCAGGCACGCTGCTTCCGATATCAGCAGGGGTGGGGCTGGTCAGGTTGGCCTTCATGTCGTCCAGCCCTCCAGCCAGGGAGGCCATGGCGGAATACTCAGGGGTCTGAAAGGGAAAACAAAACAGAGACATCTGAGCATTGAGACTCCAAAGCACCCCAACCAAATGCCACTGCCACGTTCTGGGCTCAGCCACCTAGCTGAGCTGCCATGCCAGGGCCAAGGCCTCCAAGGGGCTCATGAACACCCAGGTGCTGAGAGGTGCTGACAGAACAAGACAGTACACAGAACTGACGATCCTACCCCGATAAAGAGGCGGGCAGAATTCAGTGCAGCTTCACAAGTACTCACACCCAGCATCTCTGGGGCCTGCAGGGTCCCCTCGCCCAGCCCCAGCTGCCAGAGACAACCATCATCTTCAGTGGCGGGGGGAGACATCAGCAACCAAAACCGAGGCAGAAATAAGAGCCTTGTTGCCAAGAGTTTGAGAAGAAAGGTTTCTGATTCTGTGCTCTTCGACCAACAGACCCAGAGTCACAGAAACAAGGTCAACAGAAATTTGAGACATCATCCAATCCAAACCCTCATTTCCCAGATGAGTAAATTGAGGCCCAAGGAGATGAGGGCTTTGCCTAAAGCTAACAGGGCCATGTCCCAGGGCAAGGGGTGGTTCACCATAACCTCTCACACCAAAATTAATACATCACGCTAGCTGACAGTCTGGCAAGTGTCTGGGAATTCTGGAAGCATGTAAATACCTGTAGGCTAAAAAATAGGAGGCGCATACATCTGATTTACCAAGTCCACACCAACCGTGTGCATTTGGCCCATGAGTCACGCTCCTTCCTTTAAGCCATTTCATGAAAACAGAGCTTGCCATGAGTCATTTTCTTGGCATCGAAGCCACTGTAAGAATGGTCCCCAGAGAAGGCTGCAAAGATGCCACCTGGGTCTTCCCATTCAAGGACAAACTAAATTGTAAGCATGTGTGACAGGTCTCTTCCTCCTACCCAACCAACCCTCAGGCCTGTTTTCAGGTAAAGCAAATATTTGCAAACACCTAAGCCAAAGAATTTAGTTGTGCAAGCCAAGCTCTGGGGTGGGGAGTTCCCTCCAGGACCCTGGCATCATCGTTGGAAGACACACCCTTGTTTGTGCAGGATTATGTCCTTGGCAGACAGGGACGAGGGAAGCAAGCAGTTTTCTGAAAGGAGTTGTAAGCACCCTGGGCAGGATGATGAGGACTGAGGCACAGGGAGGGAAACCGGAGGAGCCACTAGGCTAGTGGCAGGCAGAGGGGCCTGGCTCAGGCACATCCCTGGCGCTCTTCTCTGCAAATGAATTAGACAGTGCTCCCTGGGCTGCCCAAATGCCAACCAGGAAGGAAAGTGGCTGTGAGTCCAGGAGGTGCCGCAGGCACAGCCCCTGAGATGGAGTCTCACCGAGGACAGCTTGTCCAGAGCTCCCAGCATTCTTCACTCATCTCCAGCCCAGGCTGGTTCCGAAACGCAGGGAAGAGCACAGGCCTGAAGCCAGCCTAGGTGCTTCCAAGGGAGAAGGACAAGATAGGGACGCATGTACCTCCCCGACATCAAGAATCACTATAAAGCTGCAGTAATTAAGACAGCAGTGGATTGGCACAGGGACAGATAAATAGACCAATGAAACAGAAGCGAGTCCAGAAACTAATCTGTGCATATACGGAACCCTGATATATGAGAGAGGTGATGTACAAATCAGCAAAGGATGGCTCTAATAAACAGTGCAGGGTAACCCATTATCCATTCAGAAACAAGGGGAAAGAATTGGATCTTAACTTTATACCAGACACAAAAATCAATTCCAGATGGATTAGAGACCTAAATGGGAACAGCAAAAGCATCTAATGTGGTCAGCTCTAGGCCCGGCCAAATCTGGGGACAAGTTTGCCATTCATGAAAAGGAAACAAGTGGCCCTGGGATACTCACACAGGGTTCTCAGTCACTGTGAGGACAATAGTGGGTTCTGATCATCCTGCCACCCTGCTCCAATGCCCCCTCCACCAGGAAGTCCTTCCTGACTGCTATTTCCCCAAGAGGTGGGAGTCATGCCTTCTCACTGTTGACTCCAACAAGTGGTGCCAGGACATAATCTTTACAACCATGTCAAAAGCTCACATTTATCCATCACTTACTCTGTGTCAGGAGCTTTACCTGTACTGTCCCACTCAACCCGTATGATCACTTCATGCAGTAGGTTCTATGTTATCCCCATTTTACAAATTTAGAAACTGAGACTTCTCTTTTAGAGGGGAAGTGGCTTGCCTAAAGTCACACATCTATAGGTGCCAGAGCCAGGATTCAAACCCAGGTCTATCTGACTCTAAAGTCTTGACAATCGCCCTAATTATTTTCATACCACAGAGGTCCTGGCCCTTTAACAGATATGAAATCAATTTGCTAGTACGAACTTTTTTAAAAATGAAATTAGAATGGACTAGAACAGAATATATCCAAGTGTCTCACACATAGAAAGAGCAAGTTCTGTTTATGGATCTCTGTTTCACATATAGGTGGACATATATGTACGAGATGGAGATGAAAATATTTCTTGCAATAGGTTACAACCAGCAAAGTCTTCATTCCATGCAACAGGGACCTATTGGGGAAAAGTTTCTGTCTAGACTTCATCCCACATACATAGAACGGGACTTGGTCATGGTGTTGGCCTCCCAATTTACTAAGATGGAACTTGGAAGTCAAGCTCACTGGAAGCAGCTCTTTCAGTTCATTGCCATATGCAAAGGCGGGGAGATCAAAATGCCTATGATAATGCTCTCTTCCTACATGGCATCTCCTGGAGTTTCTGGGATTCTGGGACCCCTCCCCACTGTGTTCCCAAGTGCCCGAGGCCTCATGGAGGCCTGAACATAGTGGCTAGTTCAGCATTTATTGAGCCTCCCTTGTGCACAAGATGGCATGTGAAGACCAGACATGCTCTTTGACCTTCACCTGCAAACCTCAAGGGAAAAGACACATGGTCCCAGAAGCTCCATCCAAGAGGGATAAGAACACAAAGCCATTAGTTTACATGAGGTGGGAAGTGGTTGGGAAAGGTTTCTTGGGGCAGTCTGTATTTAACACAGGTCTGAGCAATCCCTGACCCGTAAAGCTGGGAAGAACTGAAAGGAGGGCTCAGAGGTAAGAGGACAGGAATGATTCAGAAACAGGGCATATGCTAATAGTTGGAGGAAGTGAAAACAGAGGAGGTAAAGATAGAGAAAGGTCACTAAGTTGGGATTCGATTGTGAAGGGCTTGTACAATGAACATGTGGATGAACAAATGAATGGGCGACCCTTTGGAGGGCCAGGCAGCATCTCAGCCAAGAGTCAGCATCCCTGAATCCCTCCCCACCTCACTACCAAGGCCTCTTCTCCCTAGACTCCAGTCTGGACAGCTGAGTCTGCAAGAGAAAGCTGCTATTTCCACCCCCCTGCACAAAAGCAGAGCCATCTGGGTTTAAGAAAACTACAAGAGGGTGGCCAATAGAGACCTCCTGCCTTTTAATTTCTTTAATGTCCGCATAGAAGGGCCTTTTTGCTATTTGATTTTGTTTTTGTCAACAAATTCACTATCAAGGTTTGTCTAGTCACTTCAACAGTTCAGTTTGGATCATCTTTTCAAGACGCAAAATGTTCAACTTGCATTATACAGGCAGTGGAAGGTCCTAAAATCCAGTCGTCCAACCCCCATGGGCTGCCAGAAGGTAAAGTGAACTTCCCTAAAGAGCCAGGACTCAGGGGGCAGCAGGACTTGGAGACCAGCCCTCGCTGCCCTTTTCCATCTGTGGCTCCCATCATGGTCACCTCACAGGGCTGGTCTGAGTCCAGTCTCTTTTTTGGCGGGATCCCTCAGCCCTCACTCTGCTCCTGCAAGAGTCAGGGGATGTTGACCTTTAGTTTCAGCACACGATTGTTCCCTAAGTCCTCATCCCTCTCCCTCTGAACTGCCTGTGATTTTCAAAGGTAACCGCATCCTCCTCAGTCTCCTGGGCTCCCTGGAACTCCAGGCACTCTCCTACCTCTGCCTGGACAGCACATCTCACTCATTCATTGAGTGAACTCCTACCTCGTCCACAAGACCCCCTCAAATGCCACTTCGTCCATGAAACCATTCCTGCTTCCCCGACTCCTACAAAGAAGTCATAACTTCCTTGTCTATGCTTCCCTGGTTGACTGCCTTTTGCAGAGACCTCCATTAGCCCATCATGCATAACATTCGTCTATCTCCCTCTCAGCTGCCTTGAAAGTATGGAACATGAAACATCCCTAGAGCCCCCTAAGTGCTTGTTTAATGAATGAAAGTATAGTCTATTAGCATGACATTAGCCACAACGTTAAAAAATTAACTAGGGAATACTTCCACAACAGCTCCAAGTGATACACTAAACTTCTGCCTCTACTTCTCATCAAGTCAGGTGACCAGAAAACAATGTCCCTTGTAGAGCATTAGTTAAAGCCCCAGGAGAAGTGCCTTCACTGGTCTGTGATGGAATATCAGGCATTCAACACTGCTTAGCAGCAATGAGAGAAAACAGCCATAGAAAGAACTTCTTTTTTTAACCCCTGGAGACATAGCCATTAGAATATTCAAATTCCATGTCCATCCCTCCTAAATTCATTACTGGGAAAAACTTTTTTCTCCTGATGGATGGTTAATTTGTCTCTGCTTGAACAACAGGGACATTGAAAATCACTACATATCCCTCTTTTCTTTGGCTGCCAGGAAGCTCAGTCAAATTCGGTGCTCAATTGCTACAACTACGTCATTGCTGGCACCTGGTGTAATGATCTTCCCTTTCCCTCTACATAATTTCTTAATTTTTTTTAGCTTTAACTAGCTTAGATACCTGTAATTGTTTATTTTGCAGGACATCTCAAGTCCTTTGTGAGAGTGGAGGCTGGGAGATATAGAAAGAATGACAGGAAAAGAAAGAAGATGAAAGATGAGAAGAAAGAAGGCATTACTGGTGCCTCTCTTTCTGGTTATAGAAAGCCACGGGCTGAACAGAGACCCTAGGGATGCACATGGCACACGTGTGTGTTGATGCGCCCATGAACTTGTGA